ACCCGTGGGTAGCCGAGGCCTCAGTGCCAGGGGTTAGTGGTGGCCTTGGCACTGCTGGGAATGGTTGGACTTGATGATCCTAAAGGTCTTTTCCAACCCAGTTGATTCCATGAGTCGCATTACTTAGGCCACTTACTGTCACAATGACACAAGCTGAGCAAGTACCATGACATCCTGCATGGCCCTTCCTATCGGGGAAAGATATGCAAAACCCACTTACTGCTAATTTTAAGAGTTATTCCTCTTTACTTGGCACTCATTAGACCGCATCTGGATACTGCGTTCAGTCTGGGGCCTCAAGCACAAGAAACATGGTGATAAAATTCAGTGGGTCTGGCAAAGAGCCACCAAAACAGTCAGGGAGCTGGAACACGCACCTTGTGAGGGGCAGCAGGGGGAGCAGGACTGCCCAGCCTGGAGAAGAGATGGCTTTGGGGAACCTGACAGCAGCCTGCTCCTACCTGCATGGAGGTGATTGAGAAGACAGAGCCAGGCTCCTTTTGCAGGGGCACAGCAGGAGGAGGAGAGAAATGGTTGCAACAGGAAAGAGGGGAATGCTCCAGGTTGACAAAAGAGAAAAGGTTTCACCATGCTGACAGCCAGGCACTGGAACTGGAGAAAACTCCATCCTCAGAGGTTTTTGAGACCCAACTGGACAAAGCCCTGAGTAACCTGGTTCTGAATTCATTGTTAACTCTTCTTCGGGGCTGAACTAAAGATCTCCTGAAGTCCCTGAATTATGCTATGAAAATATCACACAAGAAACAAAGAATTCTTGAAATGCTTTTTAAAAAACTACAGAGAAAGAGACAAACTTTCACAATTCATCACCTGAAATGGCAAAAATCCTGCCTAAAACCCCTGTATCAATATGCACGTATTTGCCATAAGCAACAATGTTCCATTACTCAGCCAAGTGGCACACTGACTCCCAACAGTTGCTTTGGAAGCTGGTGAAATTCAGCACCTGCCTTCTTTGATGTGGCACTTCCAGCAGTTGGAATATTTGAAGGTTTTTACTGGACTAATTCACTCTCCAGTAGATCTACCAAGCTGGGCAGTGTGTGTGGCACAAGTGATGTCAAGCTAAAGCCCACCACAAAGAGTTTGAGCTGCAAGAACATTCCCAATAAAGGCATGCAAGAACACAACATTTAGTTTCCTCTCCCCTTCCCATTTGCTCTTCACCCTGTTAAGTCCATCAGCATGGCACCAACAAGCCAGCCTGGTGCATACAGAGGTATATAGCAAACACAAACCCAAACACATACACACGCACAAAGAGAAGAGGCAAAGCATAAAGAAGCATGCACAAAGCAAGGACAAACGTGCAAGCCTCTCTATTTGTGGTATCTGAACTCAATTAGGTGGAGAGAGATGCAGATAAAAACCATGCCAAGTTACCTTCAATGGAATAAGAATAATGTGCTGGGCTGGGCTGGCTTGTGGTTAACCCTGTAGTGCAGGTAAGAACACTGTGCTGACTTGTAGATGCAGTCTGAATTAAACCACTTTCAGGTTTCATACCTGGCCACAGTGCACCTGAATCAGATAAATTGGACCAGTTACAAACAGATATGCTGGCACCAAAGAGCATGCTGCGACCTCAGATGCAGATTTCTGCTCATCACAAAAGCAAGTAACAAATCACACATGAGAAATGTTGAATTTCTGACTGTCAGGCTGTGCATGGGTTAGAGCTGCTGACAAAACTGCCTGGAAAAGAGAAAATTAGAAGCACCAAAAAGACCAATTTCCAAAGCTTGATACTAAAAATCTGGTAGTGTCACAGGAGGATGAACTGCTCATCAGTGTAAGGGACCTGCTGATCCCTCTGAGGGGCACAGCCCTGCAAAGGACCTCAGCTTTACATAGTGCAGCTGGAGTTTGTATCTATCAAGGTTGAGGTCAACGCTTCAACTACTTCACTGGGCTTTAGGCTGAGCATGTTAAAATAAGCCACAAGTCAGTAATTTTCAGAGCCTGACAACAGCAAAAATAGAGCTTAAAACAAGGGGATGAAAAACCCAAACATCGAAATGTTTCATCCAAATTTCCTGCCATTCTGGAAGCCTTTGTAACAACATGGGGCAGAGCACAGAGCCAGCAAACCAATGTAATTCCTCTGTTCAGGGCACACATCAGTGCCGTGGGTTCAGCTCAGGTGCCGTGTTAGGGTCTAGTCTATTGCACTGACAGGGTGAAACCAATGTCCCACCGAAGCAGCTCAGCTCAGGTCTGGTTCTTCAGGGCTCCTCAGGCTTTTGTTTAAGTGTTTCCAGACCTAGAGTCAAAGTCAAAGGCATTTCTCCCTGGTCCTGGTTAGAAAGAAGGAATCGGTTGAGAGGATCTATGTAAAAACAAGCAGGAGTGTGCAAAGCAGAGGGACAAAGGACGTGTGGAGCTAGACACAAAGTTCAGGGCCCAGCAGAAAGACCACCCTCCTCCTTAAAACCCCTCAAAAACCAGCACCAAGACTGTGAAAGCCACCTGCAGCCTTTCACACCGTGTAGCAGGATAAGCCTCAGGCTATGAGCTCTGTGTCTTACCCAGAAGAGACAGGAGATGCTCTGGAGCTGGGCAAGTGCAGCTTACTCCATGCTGCTGCTTTGTCAGAATGAAACTCTTCAATGGCTCTGTGATTTATTTACATACCTGACCTCAAACTGTCACCTATGAGTCAAATTAGGTCATTCACCTATCTGTACAGTACACCAGGGGTTCGATTCTTCAAAATTGTCTTCATTGCTGTTTCAAACCTCTAGAACCATATTAGCAAACAAAAGGGAAGGGCTGATTTAAGAAAGGTTGTAGATGTATTGCAGAAACTCCAGAATAAAACATATGGGAAAAGGAGAGTGGGAATAGCTGTATTTGTTTAGTCTGGAAAGGGAGTGCCACGATCTCCAAATAGGTGAGGAGTTTTTAGAGGGAACAGCAACTAACAGTTCCTTTCAGTGTAAGATAGATGGGCAAGGAGCTGACAGTAACATAAGGAGAGGGTCACAGCACACACAGAAGTGCCTGACAATGAAACACAAACCAACTCTACTGCTGTAGGACGGTTATCACATGAGGAGTTAACAACAGGTCAGACACACACATCAGAGGTGCTTGCAGGGGTGGTTGGGTGTGAGAGCAGGAGCTGACTCAGGTTGTGTGGTAAAGCATCTTTCAGCCCCTGTTTTCCATGACTGCCTCTGTCATCTCTCAGGTTCTACTTCCAAACAGCAAGGCACACTCCTGGCCTAGTGGCACACATCTGTCCCTCTCCTCCTGCAAGACAGTAATAAGCCAGCACAGTCTTGAGGATGACAGAGAGGAAGGCAAGGGGGGAATGAGACCCCTCCATGTGCAATGGCAGCAGCAGGACACATCTGTGTACGTGGAAAGCCCCCAGAGGACAGCCTTGTAGTTTCTTAAGTTAATGCAAACCATCACATCCACATTGTTTCTACCACCAGCATACAGCCACACATACTCAGCTTGTATGTCACTACTCTCATTTAACTGCTTCTTGAATAAAATCTCTCCAGACCACGAGTATGTCCCATGCAGAACAATGCACTAAATATCATCCAAAAAGTATCACAAGGAGAGGTGACAAATGGGCAAGAACATAGGTCATCTCTTCTCTGAAAGCAGCATTGTGACCTGAGTGTTCTCAAGACTACATCTGTCAGCTTGCTTGAATTTCATACTTCAAATACACCTGCTTTGTTCCAGCTACATAATCCATGATGCCTCATTTTTTGGCATAGAAACAAACACACAGTAGAAAGTCATGCAAACCTCTGGAACAGGCCCTTCTGTGCTGGTAAAGCATCTGACCAGGCTGGCCAAGTCCCCATTTGCTCATGGAGATTGTGAGCAGGAACAAATTGTGTCATTCCCTCTGCACTGTGCATGCTTAAGTCCTCTACCCTCCACTTGTCCACCTCACCACACCAGGTCCAGCTTCTCGGTATGAGCAAGCAGGTACCACTCCAGTATGATTTCCATTATTGGTAAGATGACTTCTAACATTTTCCTAACACTTAAATTCAGACTGAAAATTCAGATATTTAATAAGAGACCTCAACATCCCTACCAAGACCTTTCAGTAACTAGTCACATTTCAGAAGATGTTTAACAGACGAAAGTTCCTATGTAGTCAACAGAAATGCTGATCTCTTGCCCTGGTCTTCAGGAGAATTTCTCCTGTTACATTCAGAGTATAACACTAAGCAGGGAAGCAACCCTGAATTCCAAACCCTTGGGATAAACCAACCCAAACACCCCCCCACCAAACATCACACACACACAAAACACTAACAAACCTCCCCACATCCTTCCTACTCCCCTAATTTCAGAATTAAGTCTAAAACACCTTTTCAAACATCTTGGCCTAACACTTCAAGGGAGCATTCCACATATTTACACATATTTGCCTTAAAAAAACCCAACCCCACAACACAGTAACACACCTGAGCACTTCCAAAGCAGCCCCAGTGCACTGTTCACAGCAAATTATCAATAAACACCAAATAAATGCAATAAAGAAAACCACCAGTCACTGTTCAGATACAGCTGAGAGAGTGCAACAAGGCACTGAAACCAAAGTGCAGGCACCCAGGGAACAGCAGGATGTTCCAGCAACCATAACATGGGGTTGGGCACAGTTTGTAGAATCCCAACCTGGTTTGGGCTGGAAGGGACCTTAAAGCTCATCCAGTTCCAACCCCCTGCCACGGGCAGGGACACCTTCCACTAGAGCAGGTTGCTCCAAGCCCCTGTGTCCAACCTGGCTTTGAACACTGCCAGGTAGCAGACCATCGTGGCAACACCCAGTGCTACAATAAGACAAAAAGATGAGGAAGACAGTGTTTAGGAGGACAGCAGGTTGTCACCTGCACTGGTAACTGAAGACTGGAGTATGGATACAGCACCAGGCTTCTCCACACTGGTTCAGCTTTCAGGGCAAAGCTCTCTTGAAGGAATGAAGGGAGCTCAGAAAACACATCAGGCAGAGAACCTTGGCTCCCCAGGACATGTAACACAAAGTCAACTATGTCCTCACCCCCTAGAAATCCCACGTCCATGGCAGCTGGTAGAACCTTCCCAGCAGGGACTGAGCATCTCATGACAGCATCCTTTTACACTTCAAGGCACTAAGATTTTAGCACTGCAGATAAATCTGCCAGAGGCTCTGTTCATTCAGTTCTAGAGCGTGACCACAAGCCCTGAGACAGACACTTGCGGCTCCCCCACAGCCATGCTGCTCATGACAGCACCCAGGTGCTCTCCCATGTTACCTGCATGAAAGGGGATGTTACCCCCTGCCCCCATCAGTGCTCTGCCACCATACAGTTTTGAGAGCATGATACAATATTTACACATGAAACCAAGCAGGACAACATTAAAAACAAAAAGAGAAGTTAAAAAGTTGATTTTTGATAATCAGTTACAGAATTTCATACATAAGGGGGCATAATCGTGTGCTTGCTTTATCCCCAGTGCCTGACACTTTAATATAGAGTGTACGAGGAAAGCCCAGGCAGCTCCTGTCACTAACCCATCCAGAAGTTAAGCTATTTTTCTGTCTGCACTACTGATCCTCAGCTCCCTTTATACTCCATGGAGAAAGATGGTCATTATCTTCTAAAACATACCAGCACCCCAGAGGTTTGTGTCTCTGTCCACGCACTATAAAGGAAGCACAGGGTGAACAGCTCAAACCCCCTCGCCCAACTTTATCTGCTCACTTACAGCAGGACTCACCCTTCAAGCATTTGCCAAAGCTGGAGAAGCTATTAAAGGGCTCAAGTACTAGAGCAATTTAAGCAAACTTATTTGCCCAGCAAACTTGGAGACTTTTTAGCATGAAATCTGTATTTGGTGGCAGATGAAGTAACAAAAAAGTCTTAATCCTGGTCAACAAAAAGGAAAGGAAAGAAGTCTTTGAGAAGTTACTTCTTACCAAAAGGAGGTAGTCCGTAGGTTTGAGTGGTCTGGGGGTAGATGGTGTAGGGCTGAGACTGCTGTAGTGCTTGGTACTGAGGCTGACCAGGGTAAGGGCTCATGGTTTCCGATACAGGTACAGAAAGGATATGTGCATATGGCCTTATGAAACAGAAGGAACAAAAGTTAAAAAGAACTATTTACATGATGCATGTCTCAGCCTAAAAACCAGAAGATACATAAAAAAATGCTTCAGAAAGCAGAAACAATACACACCGACATGTGCTTTGGTGTAATAACCCACTTGTGTTTCCCAGGACACACTCTTGGGTTTATATAGTGCCTGGTTCTTGCTGTGACACCAGGGGAAACTCTTCCCATCACAATGCCAGAGCACCAGTGCTTACTCCAGGGCTAAGGGGAAGAACAAACTCCCCATTGCAACAGGCAAGAGCAATGAGCTTCACTTATCATGCTTCACCACACAAAATCCTAAAGCTAATGCAATATAGTAGCATGTGTCAAAACTACTGAGCACACAAAGAGACCATACAGAAGCCAGCATGGGCAATTAAGGCCTCCTGTGCTACAATGGGAAGAACTACGAAGATCTCCAAAGGGGGTGAATGATGAGAAAACCCTACATTCCCCTTAATTTATGTCCAGTTTGTTTGTTCCCCAAATATTATGGGCATTATTCAACAAGTTGTGTTGTTAATTACTTGAAGGGGCTCATTTAACCTTGTGATCATAAAACAACAGCCACTGAACCCAGAGAGTGACTTGTGTCAGCTTCAGTGTCCGCAGCCACGAGCATCTGTTGCCAGCAGATATGAAAGTGTGATTTACAGCACCCCAGAAATGCTTCAGAAAGAGAGAAGAGTTACAGAATTCAGTAAAGATTGTTTGACTTACTTTGCAGAATACATTTGTGAGGTATAATCATTTGATGACCTTGGGATATAATCAGTGCATGTCATAACTGAAAAAAGAAATGGTTTGTGTCATCACAATAGTGGTTTCAAAGCCCAACAAATAAAGCCAATGGAATATCAGCAGGCACAGTACATTTTAACCAAGACAAAAGGATTTACAAAGGTTTCTTAGTGAATATCTTGAATATTTGAACATCTGTTTCAAAGCAAGTCTCAGAAAACACACTGTTAAACCAGCACAAGATGTTTCTATTGCCAGTTCACAGCAGGTGGATGAGTCAGTCAATACCATTTCTCCCTTTGTAACAGTGCTTTTCTATTTACTAGTTGCTACCATCATCTTTTGCAACTGCCATGAGAAAACTTAGATTTCAGTCCTGCCCAAAGCTTGTGTTTCCTGAAGCAAAGCAACGAGGCCAGTAGAAGAAAAGAGCAAAGACAGTGGGACCAGAAGCACTCTGGAAGATACTTACTCTCATTGGACATGGGAAGGTTTGAACCAAGGCTTGAAGATTCAGGTTTCTCATCGCTGACTTCTGCGTTGCTCACATGACTGCCAGGACAAAGAAAGGTTAATCAAGAGCATTACGAACTCTTAAATCAATGTCCTTGGGCATCATAACCCAAGATTCGGCCTTCCTAACCGAGGCAAACTGGCTCTTAGCAGAAACCAGCTCTGCACTCTACTGTTTCACACAGAGATCTCAAGAGAGAGATCTGCAGCTCTAATTAGACACTAAACTGTATTGGATTTGCATTGCAAGGTTTGGTAGTGGGGGGCTGTAGCGGTGCTCTGAAGCTGGGAATACACTGAAGCAGAATCGACACCATTCACTCCAGCATGTTCAGACCTGCCTGTGCTGCCCCCAGCTCCTCTGCAGCCAACAGAGAGAAAAAATCCTCCTAGGACATGGTTCATCTCACCTCCTACCAGCTTCAGACTTTTGCCTCAGAGCTCATCTCAGTCTCCCCTCTGGCAGGTTAAAGCCATTTCCTCTTGTCCTGTCCCTACAGTCCCTTGTCCAAAGCCCCTCTCCAGGCTTCCTGTAGGCTCCTTTAGGTACTGGAAGACTTTATAAGTTCTCCCTTGAGCCTTCTCTTCTCCAGGCTTTAATATCCCACGTCTACCCCTGCATGAATGGCACACACAGTGTTTCCTCCTTACTCACATTGGGATACCAGAGGCTCCAAAAAGATACTGTTCTTTCTGCTACTACACAGTATTTGCTACTACTCACAGGAACAGAACAAACCCTAATACAGCTATTCTCAGTATATGTAATAATAGTGATAAATTCCTAAATATGATTTACATCAGAAAGCACCTACTGAGACTAAAAATAGTGCTACAGAATGGCTTTAAATAGAAGAGGCTATTGATTTGAGAGGGTTTAACTTCTCCAATCAGTAACCCACAGAGCTCTGCTGAGAATCATACCACAGATACTGTTAAAATATCCTGATTCTCACCAGAATCAATGCATGTTGTGTGCAGAACATGACAGTCCCATCAGATTCTGTGAAAAACAGGATGCTTGATGATTCAATTAAAACTCTTTGTAGCCACTTTTATCAAGGTGGATACGAAAGGGTCAGTTTATTATAATGGGGAACTTAATCTCAAAGTTACATTGAATACAGAATTGACTCCTATTTGCCCTGAAAAAGAGAACAGCATGCAAGCTTCTACAATGGAAGCTTCTAATGATATAAGAACAGCAATAACAGTGCCACACTAAATCAAACTCAAATTACATACCTCAAGCTTTGTTCTCTGGATTCCTGCATCTTGGCTTTTTTCACCTGTGAAGACACAAAGGTTGAGAAACAAGTGAGGAGAGCTGTCCTTGAGAGCTGTGCAGCAGATCCCCACTGCTTACAGCAGGAGTTCCCAGCAGTGCTTAAACATAAAAAGCCTTGCACTGAACTTGTACAGTATCAAGACTGGGCTACAAGCCTGGCAGGGTTTTGCAAAGCTGACTTCAGTTTGCTCTTGGTCTTTCACTAGGAAAATTCACTTGGTTTAGGAACGGTTTCACTACAAAAAAAAACCCAAAGGTTGTTCTTTTTACTTCTTCCTGCGAGAATGTGCCACTATACTCAAGATACCACCTCACTTACTAGTTGTGATCAACAGAGCCTTACAGTCTGCCTCAGAACAACTGATTGGCACAAGATAGTTAAAAGGAATTAGCAAGAAGATCTTCATCTGAAAATTACAGCAGAATCTGCTTACCGAGGACACTTGCATGTACTGAACATTAGCTGCACCCTGTCTCTCATGCCAGTTTTCATCATGTAAGGATGCAATTACATGGTATTTCCTTTTTTAATACACACATTTCATTCATTTTTAAATCCTACAAGTATCTGGAGTTCAAGTGATCTGGTTTTGCTGATTTGCTCCAAATTTTGTGCATACTGACTCAGGCCCATAACCTGTGCCACACAATACTTTGAATAACTGGAAATTTCCATTTCATTCAATGCCATTACAATGTAATTTCTAACTGGTTAACAGAAGAATATCAAACTCGCATTAAAAAAGCATCAGAATCTTTTCAGTGAGGATGTTGCCCACTTGCCCTCAGTGTTTTGCTCTGGTTTGTGTGCATTTGAACAGGTCTTCAAAATGAAAATCAGCTTCACTCTTGTGGTAATGTGACAACTTCTTGTTGAGTTTGCACCAAGTTTAATTTGGGACTATTACATTAATACAAACTTTTTTGTTTCATTCCTAGGCTGTCATGTTTTAGACACACAAATTTAACTTCCTATCATACTGTATTAATAAAGGCTCTACAAAGCTTCTGTGGGGTGATGTTATCAGTTACTGATAACATGGCCAGGATCACAAAGAGGTAAGGTGTCTGGACAGCAGTTTCTAGCCTAAGACACACTTGCCTACCCAAACACACTGTTAAATAAAGAACGGAATAAAATGCTTTCCCCCTGTGGAGATGATGGATCACGGGATCTTTTCAAGGTCTCAAGCCCAAGACTTTGAGTCAATTACAGACTAATCACACTGAAACATGCTGCTTCTGTCATTGAAATAGTGCATTTTCATTTCTTTACAACAAGCTTGAAACAGTGTGGTTTTTTGAGCATAACAAGTAATTATTGGACATAGTAACATTACAGAGTTTAAGCATACATAACTATTCCTTTTCTTACTATTGCCTGTATAATTGGAGTAAATTAAGTGTACAACATATTTTACTAAAAGCAAAATGATTTTTCACCTCTAGATAAATATACTCAGAATAAGCCTTGTTTTCTATTCTTAATCACAATAACTCTATACTGAAATTGGGAGATCACCAATGTTCATTTGTAGCCTTTTCAAATGTACTTACTGGTTGTTCGGGTAAGTCTTGAGGCTCTTCCATGGATATTACTATTTTAATGCCTCAATGAGTCGAATCGTGTGTTCTTGGCAGTCTTCAAAGCCTGTCAAAAAAAGGTGTTCATAGCTTTATGTACTTTTTTGGGGGGCTTATCATTTAGGCTATCAGAGAACACTAATTGTTACATATTCCACCCACCAGCTTTCCAAACTCATGTTGCCATCTCCCAAATAAAAGACAAAATTCATATATGGAAAGATTTCATAAACAAGGGATTTAGCTTTAAGCTTCCAAGAGCCAGATTTTTTACGCACGTGGCACATTTCTACATCATTTACTTGTACCACACTGACTCCAGAAGCTAAAGTATCAATCAGACATGTGCCCCGTGATTTGAAAGACACTTTAAATGATCAAGTCTGGTCTAGTAGGTCAGTAAACAGTGTGATTCAATCTAACCTGTTTTAATTTAGAACATTTATATAACGAACAAAAAAAAAAAAAACCAGGACAAGCCTCTACACCTAAATGCATTCAGATGCAGGAGTGCTCATTGCCAAAGTCACCGAGCAAGGTGGCTGCTTCAGGTGCACCTTTCAGAAAGGGTAATACTGAATAATAATAATGGGTATTTATAAAATCATTTTTATGTTGAAGCTAAGTAAGCCAGTAGTGTTGAGCAGAGAGATCTTACATCCTAACACCAAAGAGCTGCTATCGCCCGTGTTTTAAAACCAGGGAAGGGGAATTTTGAAGATTACTTTTACAACCAGATTCATTTCTGCAGTTTGCTAGGGAAAAGAGAAAGGTCCCTGTCCTCCACTGCTTCCCCCTCACCCAACCAGTGCCCACCAACAGTGGGACCCCGCTGCTCCCCTTTCACCCTCTCATTCTTGAGCTAGTTGATCAAAACCAACCCTAATGTCTTCAGCCAAGCTCCATCTCCACTGCACCAAAGGCCAGCAGGAGCCTCCTCTCCCAGCCCAGCAGAGCTGGCTCTTCCACATGCACACGTGTACACCACAGAACAGAGAGGACAACTTCAGTGGGTTACAGAAGAAATCACAGAATCATAGAACAGTTTGGGTTGGAAGGGACCTTAAAGATCATCCAGTTCCAACCCCCTGTTTGGAAATCAATCATTCTGTATGGGGAGAAGATCAGCAGAGGATCTATCCATAACGCAGAGGCCAGGGGGTTGATTGTAGAGTACTTCCCACAATCTTCTTACGAGTTACTGACTGAAATTCTGAGGTCTTAACAGAGAAGCAACAAGGGGGACACCCTGAAAAACACTTTGTTGTTTGTAAGAAATTACATACAGTGACTTTTTTTGCTGAAGTCCAACCTATTCCTGCCTCCACAGTCACGGAAGCTTGACTGTAAACGCAGAGGCTCTTTACCTCCTTCCTCTCTGTCTTTCTGTTTTCCCAACCTGTCCGGAGCATTCACCTTCACATCATGAAATTGTCCCCATGCAAAGTGACTGAAGACCTCTCTGGTACCCTGAAAGCACTTGCTCTTTCCCATCCTGGCCCTTCCAGACCTACTTAAGCTCCCCACACGTGCAGGCAGTCTGCAGCCAGCCCCACGTGCTGAGCGCAGAGATGCTTTGCAGCTGGCACAATTTCCTATTAACCAGAAAAACACAAAGGATTTCTTCTCCCTTATTCGATGACAGGTCAGGGTCTGGCATGCCACATATGCCAGGGTAAAATTTCATTGAGGGCTGAGTGTTCTCCTCCCATAACAGCTGCCTCCCCTAACCAAAGACTTACCTGTATTGCCTTAACCGTGACTGAAGTCACAAGAACTCTCTTCAATAGCTCTTTTGAAATGACCTTACTCACACCCCACACAAAACAGTCTACAATACGAAGTACTACTGGTAGTATTCCAGTTTTCCCCCCATCAGTTTTAATTGGCTATATTTTAAAGATAAAAGTTTACTTCCTTTTTAGTTGTTGTAGGAATAACAAAGAAAAATCAAGGCTGAAGAGAAACCCTGGCAAAGATCATGAAGAGCAGTGTAGAGTACAATGGCCAACAGCAAGAATATATGAAATAGGTGACAATGGGTCCTGTCCTATCCCTTGTCCTTCATATTTGTTATCTGCTGCTGTTTCATTGTGTAATTTCTTAGAAAAATCCCAAACTAAACTGTTAAGTACAGAAAGACCTTATAACAGTCTTCCAGTATCTAAAGGGGTCAATGAGAACGCTGAAGACAGGACAAGGGGAATGGCTTTAACCTGCCAGAGGGGACACTGAGATGAGCTCTGAGGCAGAAGCTCTTCCCTGTGAGGGTGCTGAGGCGCTGGCACAGGGTGCCCAGAGAAGCTGTGGCTGCCCCATCCCTGGCAGGGTTCAAGGCCAGGTTGGACACAGGGGCTTGGAGCAACTTGCTCTAGTGGAAGGTGTCCCTGCCCATGGCAGGGGTTGGAGCTGGAGGAGCTTCAAGCTCCCATCAACACAAATCAGTCAGATTCTATGAAAAAGATCTCACATCACACTTCGATCCATACAGCAGTAACTGCCCATTCTATGCTTTGTTTAAAAGCTCTGAGCAGTTCTTTAATTTTATTAAATTAAATAATTAGAAAGACAAGAAGATTCCCAGAACTCCTTAATTACACTTTGACAAAACTCTCTTCCCAAATGAGCAGGGCACCCTGGAGCACCTGGAAGCAAATCAATGAAGCAAAGAATCACAGAATAGTTTGGGCAATGAGCAGTAATTATACTGAATAGAAAAAAAACTGTTTGAATAGGGGGTTACATTACTTTCAAATAGTCACTATTTCCCTAAGAACAAAGCTTTAGTTAACAAAATTGTATCTGTTATACAGAAAGTTAAAATAAAATCATAGCATCAACTGGGTTGGAAAAGACCTTTAAGCTCATCAAGACCATTCCCAGCACTGCCAAGGCCACCACTAACCCCTGGCACTGAGGCCTCGGCTACCCGGGCTGTGAACACTTGCAGGGGCGG